GCCGAGGCAGGCGGATCACTTGTGGTCAGGAGTTCGTGACTAGCCTGGCCAACATGATGAAACCCAGTCTCTACTAAAAATACAAAAATTAGCTGGGCGTAGTGGCGGGTGCCTGTAATCCAAGCTACTGGGGAGGCTGAAGCAAGAGGACTGCTTGAACCCGGGAGGTGGAGGTTGCAGTGAGCCAAGATCCCGCCACTGCACTGGGTCCAGCCTGGGCGACAGAGCGAGACTCTGTCTCAAAAAAAAAAAAAAAAAGTAGAATGATGCACAACTTTTAGTTATTAGTAATTATGTTTACTTCAGTGGTTCTCAGTCACCCTAGCCAGCAGCATTAGCATCACCTGGGGCCTTGTTAGAAATCGAAAATTTCGGTCCCAACTCAGACCAACTGAATCAGAACTATGGTCTGGGACCCAGTAAACCTGTGTTTTAACAAGTCCTCCAGGTGATTCTGATGCACACTGAAATATAAGAATCAATGTCTTGCTGGAAATGTAAATTAGTTAGGTCATATTTCTAAGCTTCATTTTCTTTGCAAGCTGAAATTACTTTAACGGGATTCCCAATAACCCGAGATGGATATCCATGAGGCTTACAAAGGTTAAATGTCAGGACGACCCTCCATTTGCTTTGGTCCTGACAGGAGCTGGGAGTTGCTGGGAGCTACAGAGAGCTCTAGGTGGAGAGAGGAAGCCAGGTCGCAGTCAGGAAGCATTTCTGGTAAACTGTTTAAATAGACCTCAGAAGAGACCTCCAAGACTATAGTATTGCTGTTTCATTTCAAATAATCATTTTCCTAATTTTATTCTTTTTCCTAAAATTGTATAAACTTATTTTAAAAATTGTGTTCAGGACCTGGATCCACCTCGACCTTAGTGATATGAAACAACTAAGCGTGCCTGTGTTAAGATATTTCTGGCAAACTGGTGCCGCACATAATTAAGCTTTTTTGTTTTCCTTTTGAATCTGGTACATGGTGTCCAGGTGCTCCGCATTGGTTATTCCAGGGCGAACGAAGCCACTTTCGGAATAGTGGGGAGACTGACGAACGACCCGCAGTCGCCTGAGGCGAGGAGAACCAAGTGCTGAGGCAGGGGGAGGCAGAGCCGAAAGAAGCCACAGCTTCGGGGCGGAGGTGGGCGATTTAGGAACTGAAGCAGCCAGAGTTCCCGCCTCCTCCTACCTGAGCAAATCCTGGCTGAGCTGCTCCGACACCGTCGCCTTCAGCCGGCGCCGCTCACACGGCCCCTTCCTTTGCAACCCCTTACTGCAAACTCCAGCGGACCCCAGAAGTACCACGGGGGCCGAGCTGCCTTCCCCACAGCGAGCCATGTCTCACAGAGGTACGGCGCCCTGGAGGCCCAGTACTTGGCCTCACTTGCCCCGCCCAGGAGGAAGAAGGGGGCGTTTCCAACCGAACGCTCGGCTCCTACCCAAATCCGCCCCCTAGGGTAAAAGGTTGACGCCTCTTGTCGGTTTGTAGACGGTCTCACAGAGCAGCCGGACCGCGGTGGGGAGCCTCAGAGGCCCAGAACCAAGCCGGCTCGTGACCCGGGAAGAGCGTGCGCAGGCGTACTCGCTCTGTTTACTTCTGCCTGCGGGCACCCCGCCTCCCATGGCTCCGGCGCGGACCATCCTGCGGGGCAAACCAGTCCTCAGGCTCCTTATCCCCTCCCCTCTACTTTCCCTTCCGGTTGGTGTTCATTCATTCAGTGTTTTACTGAGGCTCGAGTTCAAATCAGCACATGCAGCCTTTGTATGCGTCTTCCTGACAGGTCTACACTTTTTCCAACGAAAGACTGGGCGAGTCACACACCCTCACTTACCTGGCTTCTTAACCCTGAGGTATAAATGTTTGGGGCAAGAAAAATTGGCGATGGGAGGGGTAGGGGAAGACCTTCATAAACTGCCAGTCAGAACAATTCTGAGTCCAATATAAGAGGTACTTACAGCATCTAGAAGGCCCCATCCCCTTCGTATCCGCGGAGTAGCTCATAAACTTTTGGACTTGATCAGAGAAAGCTCAGTTAATAGGACGGGGCTTTGCATATAATGCCCTAACGTTTATGACCAAGAAGGGAGAAATAGGTAAGGGGCAAAGTCTTTGAGCAGTGAAGTGGTGGATGGATGAAATATAGAATTCTTTTTTGTTCCAAAGAAAGTAGCAAACGTGATTATCATTTAAGGTTTTGGTATTTATTTTTTATTTGATTACTGCCTCCAAAAGAAGAAAACTCAGTAGTTATGCTTTGGGCCGGGCAAGTCCCATCTACTTGGGAAGAAGAGGCGGAATGACGACTTGAGCCCGGGAGGTCGAGGCTGCAGTGGGCCATGATTGCACCACTGACTCCAGCCTGAGCAGCACAGCAAGACCCTGTCTCCAGAAAAAAAAAAAAAAAAAAAAAAAAAATTCTGTTTCATTCACAAACTTAACTGTGATCTTAATGTGTGAAAAATAAATGTAGGTAAAATTGCCAGGCCGGGCGCGGTGGCTCAAGCCTGTAATCCCAGCACTTTGGGAGGCCAAGGCGGGAGGATCATTTGAGCCCAGGAATTCAAGACCAGCCTGAGCAACATAAGGAGACCCTGTCTCTACCAAAAAAAAAAAAAAAAAAGGAGGTGGGGAGAGGAGGTCTTTGTATTTGTACCATAAGATTGGCCAAGAAGTAACCTTTTCTTCAGATAATGCCCTCTCTAAAATATTTGGACACCTTAATTCTGAAAAATATAACTGGATAATTGATTTTTTAAATTAATTTCCAAATGCTTGGATCGATAATTGATTCTTAATTATTCCTGTAGAAAAGAGGGGTGTCAAAGATAACATAATAGTAGATTATATTTGAATCCTTATTATGTGATAAACGCTACTCTATTTGCTCTGTGTGTTTTAACTCAGTTAATCCTTACAACAACCATTTAGCTAGGTACTGTCTTCAGACCTAATTTGCAGATGAGGAAGCTGAGGCATACAAAGGATAGGTAACTTGGCCAAGGTCACACAATGTCATATATCACACTATAATATATGGTGTGTTACACCATAATAATGGTATATTATAACCCAGACAGTATTTATCTTTTATTTTTTGACTGGCAAATTTAGTCAATTTATATACACTCTTGGTAGGAATGTAAATTGGTGCAGCCATTATGGAAAACAGTATGGAGGTTCCTCAAAAAATTAAAAATAGAACTATGACGTGATCCAACAAACCCTCTTCAGGTATATACCCAAAGGAAATGAAATTAGCACCTCATAGAGATATCTGCACTTTCATATTTGTTGCAGCATTATTCACAATAGCTAAGATATAGAAACAACCTAACTGTCCCTAGGATAGATTAATGGATAATGTTGTATATATACAATGGAATAATATTCATTCTTAGAAGATCCTACCATTTGTGACAACATGGATGAACCTGGAGGACGTAAAGTTGAGTAAAATTCGCCAGGCACAGAAAGACAAATACTGCCTCACGCCTGTAATCCCAGCAGCTTAGGAGGCCAAGGTGGGCAGATCACGAGGTCAGGAGATCGAGACCATCCTGACTAACATGGTGAAACCCTGTCTCTCCTAAAAATACAAAAAAAGTTAGCCAGGTGTGGTGGCGGGTACCTGTAGTCCCAGCTACTCAGGAAGCTGAGGCAGGAGAATGGTGTGAACCCAGGAGGTGGAGCTTGCAGTGAGCCAAGATCACCACTGCACTCCAGCCTGGGTGACAGAGCCAGACTCAATCTCAAAAAAAAAGACAAATACTGCATACATACTCTCATATATAGGATCTTTTTAGAAGTACGTAAACAGTAGAAAGGTGGTTGGGGAAGTTGCATTTATGTAGGATGAGTAAGTATAGAGATCTAATGTATAGCATGAGAACTATAGGTAATAATATTTGTTGTATACTAGAAATTTGCTAAGTGATTAGATTTTAGGTGCTCATACCACAAAAAAGTAACTGTGTGGTGAGAGGGAAAAAAAGTATGTGTGATGATGATATGTGCTTGACTATATCGTTTTACTCTGTATGTCAAAACATCATGTTGTATACCTTAAATATCTATAGGTTAAAAAAAAAAAATGAAAAAAACACCCAGGCAGTCTAGCACCAGACTCCCTTCAAAGCCCTGCCAAATTTCTACCAGGCCTCTTTATCATCTGATAAAGTAACAACTAGGCTACTCTCTGGTTGCAAATGGGTGACAGAATGATTTCTGGTTCATGTTTTATCTTAAAACAACTTAAGTTAGGCCAGGTGTGGTGGCTCATGCCTGTAATTCCAGCACATTGGAAGGCCAAGTCGGGCAGATCACTTGAGGTCAGGAATTTAAAACCAGCCTGGCCAATATGGCAAAACCCCGGTTCTACTAAAAATACCAGAATTAGCCAGGTGTGATGGTGCGTGCCTGTGGTCCCAGCTACTTGGGAGACTGGGGCAGGAGAATCACTTAACTGTATCGTTTCACTGCAGAGGTTGCAGTGAGCCGAGATCGTGTGACTGCACTCCAGCCTGGGTGACAGCGCAAGACTCTGTCTTAAGAAATATATATAGAAATAACAAAACTTAAGGTAGCTTAGGCAGCTATGTGAAATGATTAAAGAATAAGTAAGTACTCCCTTAAAAAAACAAAACATGGCTGGGCATGGTAGCTCACACCTGTAATTCCAGCACTGGGAAGTTGAGGTGGGAGGATTGCTTGAGGCCAGGAGTTCAAGGCTGCAGTAAGTTATGATCACATTGCAGTGCTGCAGTACTTAGCCTGGGCAATAGAACAAGATTGTCTCTAAAAAAAAAAAAAAAAATCTTGTCTTTGATGCTTCACATTCTACCATTAGATAATTTAACTTAAAGCATTATTTTTATTTTAATTCATCTCTATAGTCATTTATCCCTAATGTGAGTGAGGTTTTCAGATGTTCTTCCTGAAAGCATTTTTGATCAGGAGGAAAAGAGAGTTTAAGGAACTAGCAGTGGGAGCTGTGAAGGTAAACATGGCTAAACTCGTAATTTGGTTTAGGGTTATCTTTAACTGTGATCTTAATGTGTGAAAAATAAATGTAGGTAAAATTGCCTTGGAAGGAAAAACTTCTTTCAAGAACTTCAATCTCATGAAAACAAACCCATTTTTGATGCATTATTTCTCCCTCTTTAAAAATGTTTAGGCTGAGCTTGGTGGCTCACACCAGTAATCCCAACATTTTGGGAGTCTGAGGTGGGAGGATTGCTTGAGCCCAGGAGTCCAAGAACAGCCTTGGCAGCATAGCAAGGCCTCGTCTCTACTTACTTACTTACGAAATAAATAAATAAATAAATAAATAAATAAATAAATAAATAAATAAAATTAAAGCCAGGTGTGGTGGCACATGCCTGTAGTCCTAGCTACTCAGGAGGCTGAGGCGGAAGGATCACCTAAACCAGGGGTTAGAGGCTGCAGTGAGCCCTGATTGTGCCTCTGCACTTCAGCCTGAGTGACAGAGTGAGACCCTGTTTCAAAACAAAAAGTGAATGTTTTAACAGGAAAAATTTCAAATCACAGCTACTCGGGAGGTTGAGGCAGGAGAATCGCTTGAACCTGGGAGGCAGAGGTTGCAGTGAGCCGAGATGGAGACTCCATCTCAATAAATTAAAAAAAAAAAAAAAAAAGCGAAAAGCTTTTCAGAGAGAGAGAGATCTTGTCATGTTGTCCAGGCTGACCTTGAACTCCTGGGCTCAAGTGATCTTCCTGCCTCAACCTCCTGAGTAGTTGAAACTATAGGTATGTGCCACCATGCCCAGCTGAGTAGTGTTTTTGTTGTTGTTGTTGTCGTCGTTGTTGTTTTTAAGAACTATATATAAAAATTCGCTGACCATGCTGGTGCCCACCTGTAATCCCAGCACTTTGGAAGGCCCAGGTGGGCGGATCACCTGAGGTCTGGAGTTCAAGGCCTGCCTGGCCAACATGGTGAAACCTTGTCTCTACTGAAAATATAAAATTAGCTGGGCGTGGTGGTACAGGCCTGTAATCCCAGCTACTCGGGAGGCTGAGGCAGGAGAATTGCTTGAACCTGGGAAGTGGAGGTTGCAGTGAGCCGATTATCAAGCCACTCCACTCCAGCCTGGGTGACAAGAGCGAAACTCCATCTCAAAAAAAAAAAAAAAAACAACTATATATAAAAATGTAATGGATAGGACAGCTAAATATAAAAAGTGAAATTATATACTACTTGAAATAAAGTGGGTAAATTCCTTTTTACCCTGGAAAAAAGAATGAATGTGTATATGTATATGTGTGTATTCCACATATTCCATGTACTCAGATCACCCCTTCTTAAACATAAGGTAACATGCATACTATATATTTACTATTCTGCATCTTGTTTTTCCTCATTTAACAGTATATACTAGAGTGTTCTGCCTGCTTCCAGACGAGCAAGGAGACTCGTGGTCTGGTTCTTGGACTTCCCTAACAGCGTGGCCCCTAAACGCCAGTCTCCACTCCCACTTGAAAAGAAGAAACCAAGACCACCTCCTGCTCTGGGACCAGAGGACACATCGGCCTCTGCAGGCTTGCTGAAGAAGGGAGAAAAAGAACAGCAAGAAGCAATTGAACACATTGATGAAGTACAAAATGAAATAGACAGACTTAATGAACAAGACAGTGAGGAGATTTTGAAAGTAGAACAGAAATATAACAAACTCTGCCAACCATTTTTTCAGAAGAGGTCAGAATTGATCGCCAAAATACCAGATTTTTGGGTAACAACATTTGTCAACCATCCACAAATGTCTGCACTGCTTGGGGAGGAGGATGAAGAGGCACTGCATTATTTGACCAAAGTTGAAGTGACAGAATTTGAAGATATTAAATCAGGTTACAGAATAGATTTTTATTTTGATGAAAATCCTTACTTTGAAAATAAAGTTTTCTCCAAAGAATTTCATCTGAATGAGAGTGGTGATCCATCTTCAAAGTCCACTGAAATCAAATGGAAATCTGGAAAGGATTTGATGAAACGTTCAAGTCAAACACAGAATAAAGCCAGCAGGAAGAAGCAGCATGAGGAACCAGAGAGCTTCTTTACCTGGTTTACTGACCGTTCTGATGCACGTGCTGATAAGTTAGGAGAGGTCATTAAAGATGATATTTGGCCAAACCCATTACAGCACTACTTGGTTCCCAATATAGATGATGAAGAAGGAGAAGGAGAAGATGATGATGATGATGAAGAGGAGGAAGGATTAGAAGATATTGATGAAGAAGGGGATGAGGATGAAGGTGAAGAAGATGAAGATGATGATGAAGGGGAGGAAGGAGAGGAGGATGAAGGAGAAGATGACGAATAGAACACTGATGGATTCCAACCTTCCTTTTTTAAAATTTTCTCCAGTCCCTGGGAGCAAGTTGCAGTCTTTTTTTTTTGTAGTCTGTTTTGTTCTTTTTTTGCCTCTTGTGCTCAGTTGCCCTGTTCTTGAGGTCTCTTTTCTCTACTCCATGGTTCTCAACTTATTTGGGGGAAATACCTTGAGCATAATACAATGGGAAAAGAGTGTCTTCCCCTTTCTGTTCGAAGTTCATTTTTATCCCTTCCTGTCTGAACAAAAACTGTACTGAATCAACACAACCTAGCTCTGTGGGAAAGAAGAAAAACCCGCTCCCTTCGCTCTGCTGGAAGCTGGAGGGTGCTAGGCCCCTGTGTCGTAGTGCATAGAATTCTAGCTTTTTTCCTCCTTTCTCTGTATATTGGGCTCAGAGAGTACACTGTGTCTCTATGTAGGTCAAAGGGACAATATGGGCAGTTAGATTTACCAACATGTATCTGTCTACTTTCTCTTGTTTAAAAAAAGAAAAAAAAACTTTAAAAAAATGGGGTTGTAGAAGGTCAGCAAAGGGTGGGTTTGAGATGTTTGGGTGGGTTAAGTGGTCATTTTGACAACATGGCTTCTCCTTTGGCATGTTTAATTGTGATATTTGACAGACATCCTTGCAGTTTAAGATAACACTTTTAAAATAAATTCTCTCCTAATGATGACTTGAGTGCTGCCACTCAGTGGGAGACTCAGCAGAACCTGTAGGATCTTATTTGGAATTGACATTCTCTATTGTAATTTTATTCCTGATTATTTTTAAATTTTCTTTTTGTTTCACTGGAAAGGAAAGATGATGCTCGGTTTTAAACGTTAAAAGTGTACAAGTTGCTTTGTTACAATAAAACTAAATGTATACACACACACAAAAAAAAACCCAGTATATCCTAGAGGTTATGCCATGCTAATGCAGATCTTTGTCATTTCTTTTTATGGTGGCAATTCCACTACATTTCACTCAACTGCCGTTTTAATTTCTTCTTTGAATGATTATTCATATCCTTTGCCCATTTTGCTTTTGGTCTTTTCTCTATTTTTAGATGTTGGAGATATTAATGTTGTCCGTGATATAATTTGCAAATACATTTTTCCATTTGTCATTTGTCTTCTGACTTGGCTTGGTTTTTAGTGGGTTTTTTTCTTTTTTTCCTGATGTTTTTGTTTTAATGTAGTCAAATTTTTTCTTTCTTTTTGTTCATTGTTTCTGGACTTTGAGTCATAGGTGGAAAGATTATCCTAACTTCCAGATTGTTAAGGAATTCATACGCTTTTCCCCTAATAATGTGTGATTTCACTTTTTATACGTAGCTATTTAATTCATTTGGAATTTATCTTGTTACATAGTATGAAGGAAAGATCCAATTGTATATTTTATTTTTTTCCAAGTGGCTATCTAGTTATCCCAATACCGTTTACTAAAAGTCAACTTTTCCCCTTCTCATTTTAGATGCCACTTTTATCATATGCTAAATTGTTTTCTCCCTTAGTTCTATTTCTGGACTTTCTATTCTATCACATTGTTCAGGCCATCTATTCTTGTGCCAGTATCACAGTTTTAATTATAGAGGCTTTATATACATTGCTTTAAAAAAATTTTTACTGGCTGGGTGCAGTGGCTCATGCCTGTAATCTCAGCTCTTTGAGAGGCTGAGGTGGGTGGATGACTTGAGTCCAGGAGTTCGAGACCAGCCTGAGCAACACGGCAAAACCGCATCTTTATCAAAAATAAAAAAGATTAGCCCTGGGTTGCGGCGCACACCTGTGGTCCTGGCTACTTAGGAGGGTGAGGCAGGAGGATCACTTGAGCCGGGGAGGTGGAAGTTGCAGTGAGCTGAGATCACACTGCTGCAAACCAGCCTGAGTGACACAGCAAGATCCTGTCTCAAAAAATACAAAATAAAAAATGAATTGCTGAATGTTCCATGCCCAAGGGTGAGGGTGCGGTAATTTTTTTGCCTTAGTATTGGTCAACTGTTAATCTGTTCAATGTCCTCTCAGTGCTAACAGCAAAACATAGAACTGATAAAGCTGAGGATTCTGCACAAACCTCACTTATACTGTTTCTGGACTCTTCCCTGCATGTGTGTAATGGTTAAAAGTGCAGACTTTAGAATCATGATATTGAATCCAATTTAACTTGTTTATTAGTTGTATGACCTAGCCTACTGGTCTAATAGTCTAAGTCTATTGAGCTTGAGTCTACTGTGCTGATCCGTGAAGCTCTCCAAGCCTCAGTTTCCCTATAATGTGGATAAGGGTATCTCATGTGGTGGTTAGAAAGACTAAATGAGATAATCCATGTAAAATTCTGCTATGATGTGTATTATTAGCTTATGACTTATCATCACAAAATAGTTTTGAAGGTTACTCTTTAGAGTTTTAGCTTTCCCCCTACACTGTCTTCCATTCAAATAGGCAATGTCATTTTGCTGTTAGTGTTTGTTTCCTCCTAGCAGTTAAGTTTTACTAGCTCCAGTGGATGTGGTGGGTTTACAAAGGTGATAGTGATGATGAGCACTGAAGGTCTTCATGGACAGGGAAGTTGTGATTTTGATTTCTTCCTGCCATCATATTTAAGAATAGGCAGCCATTTGGAAAAGCCATTTGAAAAAGAAAAGCGATTACAGAATCAGAATAGCACCATATTACAACCCTCAATGATCTAAGTGATGAGCAGCAATAGCTGCAAAAATCACAAAAAGAAAACCAGGCAATATATGCTTTCTGATGAAAAACACACTACATGTATGATCTTGCCAAATGAATCAAACCTGAATTTGATGAAGCCTCTGGATTCCAATCAGCAGAAAACACAAAGGGCAGAAGCATATGCTGATTTGTACCATAAATATGCAGTTGGCAGAATGCAGACTATGGGAAATTCCACAGATCGAACAGCCCAGGTTCTGCAATAGAAGAAGTATAAGCAAAATAAAGGGAAGGAGGGGAAATCTGTAGATTTTAAAAGGTCTAAAAAATATCTTTCATGGGCTACAATGTAGGGGGGAAAAAACATACAATGTCTAAAATTGGCATGAATAAACTATAGGGTCTAGGAATAGCATCTATTATTAGAGTTTTCTGTTTCTCTGTATGTATATATATACACCCAATTGGTTCTGTGTCTCTGGAGAACTCTGTGTGTGTGTGTATGTGTGTGTATACACATATATATACATACATATGTGTGTGTGTGTGTGTGTGTGTGTGTATGGGGTAGGGGGCAGGACTTAAGGAACTGGCTCACACAATTGTAAAGGCTTGGCAACCCCCAAATCTGCAGGGAGGCCTGCAGGCTGGAGACCCAGGGAAGAATTGCACATGAAGTCTACAGGCAGTTTGCTGGCAGAATTCTACCCTCTTCAGGGTAGGTCAGTCTTCTTCTATTAAGGCCTTAACTGACTGGATGAGGCCCACCTACATTATGAAGGGCAGTCAGCTTTACTCACAGTCTACTGATTTAAATGTTAATTTCATGTAAACAATCTCTTCACAGAAACATCTTGAGTAATCTGTGACCAAATATCCGGGTACCATGGACTAGCCAAGTTGACACACAAAATGAAGCATCACGGTATCAAAATACGCAGATTTAGATGATTAAAAAGTAAAGAAATACAGGAAGTGAAGCTATCCAAGTCAGGAAAGGAGCTTAATTTTGAGAGGAAGAGGGAGTTTGTAATTATGACAGGGGTATGGAAGAGCTTACAAGGTGGCTGGACAAGTTTCATTTCTCTATGTGAGTGTTGGTTGCAAGAGTATTAACCTTTTTTTTTTTTTGAGACGGAGTCTCCCTCTGTCGCCCAGGCTGGAATGCAGTGGGCAGAATCTTGGCTCACTGCAACCTCTGCCTCCCAGGTTCAAGTGATTCTCCTGGCCTCAGCCTCCCAGGTAGCTGGACTACAGGTGCCCGCCATCATGCTCGGCTAATTTTTGTTTTAGTTTAGAGACGGGGTTTCCCATATTGGCCAGGCTGGTCTTGAACTCCTGACCTTGTGATCCGCCCACCTCAGCCTCCCAAAGTGCTGGATTACAGGCTTAAGCCACCGGGCCCAGCAAAAGTATTAATCTTAAAACAGGATTATATTTAGAATATGAAATATAGATATTTATAACACAAAATAATTATATTTAGCTATAAATTTCCCTGATACGGTTTTCTGTATCTTATTTATTTTTAAATTAAAAAAATTTAAGTGTTAAGTGTTAAAGAGGATTTAAACAAAGCTATGTTAACCTTTTTTTTTTTTTTTCCGAGAGAGTCTTGCTTTGTTGCCCAGGCTAGAGTGCAGTGGCGTGATCTCAGCTTGTTGCAACCTGTGCCTTCTTAGCTCAAGCAATCCTCCCACCTCAGCCTCCTGAGTAGCTGGGACTATGGGCATACACCACCATGCCCAGCTAAACATTTGAGGTTAAAATGTAGAGAGTATAATAAAGACCCTGCTTTTTTGTATAGCTCACTATCTAATGAGAAACAACCTTAAAAGAGTTCTACAAATGTTTAGGTAGCACTACCACTGTTTGAATAAAGATATTGCTTGGTAACTACTTCTAAGTGAAAGCTGTTATTTAAATGAACAATTTTCAGTACATTTAAACAAATCATTGTATTGAATTCTATATATATATATATGCATTTATTATCATGGGAATATTGCACTGGATGGGGATTATGAAAAATCACTGATCCAAATCCTTTTTTTTTTTTTTCAGGGCAGAACTGCATGGAAATTATCTCAAAATAATATTTGATTTTTTTCTTTTCTTTTCCTTCCTCATCTCCTTACCTTTCTCCCATTCTTCTCTTCTTTCTTTCTACTTTCTGAAAGTATAAGGAAACTGACAGAGTTAAAGCTTTAGGCGCCCCACTTCCACAAGCCCCTTCTAGGGTTCTAGTAGCATCCCTAAAAGTGTGTTTACTTGGTTATGTTTTTGTAAAGTTGGCAAACTTTGGTCAAATGTTGCCTCATATCTGGTGCTACTGAGTAGCTACAAGCATTTTTAAGATTCAGTCACAGTGAAACTAAGTAGGGGCTTCAGTGAGTAGGACTGGTGGGGTATGTTTATCAGTTCACATTCACTTCCATGTCTAGATAGGTTGTTGCTCCCTGTCCTGGTATAGGAATGGTTTCCAGGAATACTTTGCTGATTCATCCTGCATGGTGACATGAAGGGGTAGGGCCCAAGGGTCACATCACTATGTGAAGATGTCACATATCGACAGGTATTGGAAATAAATGTGTAAATAAGTAGAGACTTCCATTCTCATTGATGCCTTATTGGAACAAAAGGAATATTCTCAGTAATGCAGAACATGTTAATTATAAACACATTTTTTTTATGTTTTGATTAAAGTCATACAGAATGAAATTTGTCAAAATTCCTATATTTATGACCTATGTTTATGATATTTTTTCAGCTTTCCAGAAATTGTAATCTGTTGTGATTTCTCATTCTAAATAATCACTTTTATATTTTAAAAAGGCAAGCAGGGGACAGGCATACCATATATAAGTGTTGCAATATGTTCCCAATACTATATCTTCCTAATATTTATATTATCTTGAAAAATAAGAAAATTAGGCCAGGCACGGTGGTTCGTGCCTGTAATCCCAGCATTTGGAAGGCCGAGGAGGGCGGATCACCTGAGGTCGGGAGTTTGAGACCAACCTGACCAACATTGAGAAACCCCGTCTATACTAAAAATACAAAATTAGCCTGGTGTGGTGGCTCATGCCTGTAATCTCAGGCATATCGGGAGGCTGAGGCAGGAGAATTGCTTGAACCCAGG